TCATTTTCTGGCTAGAAATTTAAAAGTAACGTAGAGGCTTGCTTTATATTTCTATTGGACCGTGCGGTTCTCCATTGGAAGGGCGGAGGGGAGGGGCCTGGTAGACGTGGAGCAGGCAGGGCGCTAGGCAGCCCTTGTGAAGGGGCGGGCATTTCGGGGGCTGGAGGCAGCCTGCCAGCTCTCAGCCCGACAAGGCGTCCGCAGGCCCACTCCCGAGGCCACATGACCAGGAGCAGGGTCCACAGTGCAGAGGGGGGCGGTCAGCTGCCGCCACGGAGGGGTTTTCTGTGCTGGGTCTTGCACCTAGAGTGCCACCGGCCCCCGGGCCAGGGTCAGAGGACCTGGGACCCGGGCTGACACACCGTGGCAGGGGGTCCTGTTTGGGGTCCCGGGTACCGGTCTCTGCAAGGCTGCCCCCGGCAGAGGGGCTGAGTCAGCTCCGGCTCTCAGGAGGCTGGGCTGGAACCAGCGGTCAAGGCAACAGGGAGGAACATTCTAGCAGTCAGCCCTGCCCGTGGGAAGGAGGGCTCCTCACCAGCAAGGCTGGCCGAGGACGGGGGATGGGAAGGGGACTTGAGGATGAACTGGGTCCTTAGCGGCCCCAGGGACCTGCCCGCAGGGGAGTCAGTGCAGGAGGGACGGAGACAGGGCCTCGGTCGCCTGGGCTTTCCCGGGGTCCATGCTGCCACCCACCGGCTCTGCCCTTCCTGCCCCCCGCTGCCCCCGCCCCGGCTCACAAAGGTGGCCTGCTCAGCCACACGGAGTCCGTACAAGCGGGTGAGTGCACAGCGCTGTCCTGGCCCTGATCCTCCTGCACCCACACCCTCCTCCCCGGGCTCCTCACAGCACAGTGCACCCCGGCCCAGGGAGAGGGGCGCCGCGAGGGTAACCCCATCCCTCTCACACACGCACACATGCGCCGTGCTCCTCATTGGAGGCAGGGACGGGGCTCACAGCGGCCATGGATGCTGGCCGCCGAGCCCAGCCGTCCGGACCCAGCCTCCTGGCCCTTGGCCGCCCTCCCCTGAACCCGGACACAGATGGTCCAGCCGCCTGTCACTCCTGGAGCCACGTGAGCAGAGACGGGGCTGAGTCGCACAGGAGTGTCTACTCCAATCCTGACGGCAGGACGGGGAGCATCGGGTCAAGACACTTGGCAGCTCTGGGCCCCAGTTCCTTCAGCTGGGAGATGGGCATACGGCCCGGCTTCACAGGACTGGGGGGCGTCTGGGCAGCCCTGTGCTTGGTGCCCGGCCTGGAAAGGCCCCTGACACGCACTTGCTGCTCTTGCCTCCTCCCTGGGACCATGAGGAGCTGGGAGCTGAGGGAGCCCTGGGGGCACCCCCCCTCCTGGCCTCTCTGTCTGGGTCTGGCCTCTCTCTGCCCTGAGCCCACCAGCAGCTCTGCTGGCCGCGCGTCCGTGTGTCCAGAGCAGCTCCGGTCCAGGTGCCTCGTGGCAAAGCCTCTGAGCCGGTGGCCTGAGGACTCCGATCAGTGTCTGTGGGCGGCTCCTCCTCGGCTCCTCAGAGTGGGACCTGGTCTGCCCC